AGTTATATCCCTTTGAGGCTAAAGAGCATATTTGGAATGACCAAATAAATATGATTTCAGGATGGGGTCTTGATAATATCAGAAACAGTGACAGACCCTTTGGAACAATGCATGTAGCTGGGCAAGAATTTATCACTCTTGAGCTGTGATTGTTCAACAGACCTCCATAAAGCAAAGTCTCCAACTGGAGAGGCAGGTGTGTTAAGTAACAAGACTACTGCATGACAAATTCCAGATACTTTTCTGTCTTCTGCCATTAATGCTTTTTAAGTTTCTCATATGGGACCTCAACCCGAAGATGAAACAGAAAGTAGCACTCGCCACGAGCACCCATCTGTTGGTAATGAACAGCCCCACCTACTACTCAAAGCACACAGCTCTTTGTGGCAAGACCAGGGGAGCAGGGAGGGAGAAGGGAAAACACTCTCCTCTGCCTTTCTATCTTGAGTCATCTTACATACTCTCTGCCGATCCTTCCTTTGGAGGCTCTTCTCCTCATCTTTAATGGATGCTAAAAAAGCAGGGAGAAAATTCTCTTTTATAACACTTGGAGCATAGCTCATTTTCTTCCAGATACCAGGCAGGTTTTATACCTTTGGTTAAAATACGTTAAGTGGTGGGGCCGGCCCGGTGGTGCATCGGTTAAGTGCGTGCGCTCCGCTTCAGCGGCCCAAGGGTTTGCGGGTTCGCATACCGGGTGCACACCGATGCACCGCTTGTCAAGCCATGCTGTGGCAGCGTCCCATATCAAGTAGAGAAGGTGGGCACAGATGTTAGCCCAGGGCCAATCTTCCCTGGCAAAAAGAGGAGGATTAGCATCGGATCTTAGCTCAGGGCTGATCTTCCTCACACACACACACAAAAAATACATTAAGTGGAGGCAAAAACCAATACAACAGCACCCATGCTGGATTCTTGACCCGAACATGGCTTTGCCTAGATGCTTCGCCTCTCACTACAGCATGGGCACGCCTAAACCTGTTTAGGTGTCATTGATAGGGGCTCTCTAGAAGTCTATCAAAAAATGCTACTTCTGGTCACTGAAAGATTCACCAGATCTCTGCAGGGTATTTAACTATGCCGCCACTTTATTGATCTATAAAACACAGATTAATAAAATAATAAGTAATCGATGTGGGGGAGCACTCCCTGTCTCTGCCCTCTACTTAATGGTGTCCCTACATTCCTGGACCTGTTCAAGTGTGGTTCTGGCTAAGTCCCTCCTATCATGGGAGAGGCTGGGCACCTCACCAGGTGGAAGCACTGATAGCTGGAAGGAGTCCAGGCTGGGATGCCAGGGAGATGAGCAACCGAAGTGGCAGAAGATGGAGGGGTGAAGTAGAGCCTGAAGGGGGTCTCCAGCCAGTTGCTCAGTGTCACTGGTAGCCTTTAGTATGGCCAGAACTAGAGTGGGAGGCCCAGCCAGAAAGCAGGATGCTTGGCAGTCTGTGCTGTTCACCCAGGATGGGGGCCAGAGAAGAGAGGGCTGTACAAATGCACATGGCTGGAACCACGCTTAAAGGGTGGGGCAGGTTCCTAACTGAGGACTTTAGAACTTTCTGCCACTGAGTAGCTTGAAATTTGGGCAAAGCATTCAACCTCTCTGGGCCTCATTCATCACCTCTAAAGTGGAATAATACGTGCCCAATTTCATACAGGGTTGTGTAAAGCTGAAATCTGACAAAGCTAGAAAATATGTTTCCCAAACTATAAAACACCGCCCACCTACAAAGTCTATCATTCTTACTCTTCGGAAGAAGAAAACCTTGCAAACATCTGATTAGACTAACAGCTAGTTTCAGAAAGTAAAGCAAGAGGCAGGAAAACAAAAATCCATGAAAACCCAAAATATGTCCAACCAACAAGCATTCTGTTCTTCTGGCTAGGATATAAATGTCACTTTTCAAGAAAAACTGAAATACTGATTTGTTTTTGCTCAGCACTACACACCTTTATGGGGCTTTGAGTTAGCTACAGTGAAGACTAAATAGAAAGTGTAGACTAAACAACTGGCTTGACTCCTGGTGAGAGGTGGGAGGGGAGCAATGCACAAAACTTAGAGGAACTTCTAAAGTGAGGCCCCTGACCCAGACTGTGCAGAACCAGAGCCTGGCAGGCCGGGCACCCTGGGTCCACCACCAGGTCTGGGCCAACATACGGGTTTTCCCAGTTTAAGTGGGGAGAGAAGGCTGGCCCCAGTCGGGTCTCTGGATAAAGCCGGGAGAGAGGCACAGAGGTTACTTGGGAAACGTACTGTTGGAAACAGAGGTTCTTTTAGGCCTTGGGAGGGTATCTGGAGAGCATCCAAAATGAAGGCCAGGATTAGGAGAGAAGTGACATGGAAAGAGGAGGCCGGCACTGCCAGAGAGGGGTGGCTGCAGCTGGCCTCTGGGAGTATAAAAGGGTGAGGGTGGGAGATGGGCAGGGACGGAGAGGACGTGAATGCAGCCTGGCCCTGCCCGAGAATGAGAAAAGGACGAGTCTCGGCTCGCACAGACCCTGTGCCAACTGGAGGACAGGCTGCAGTGGGCCTCTGGGCAGAGGAGCCGCCCGAGGTGAGGCCAGGGCAAACACGGCTCCCCCGGGAGAGGCCCCAGGAGGCCTCGTGCTGACCTGGCCTTTTCCTCCGCCTCTGCGGAAAAGCGATTACATCTGAGCAACAGGAGGCAGAGGGCCGATCCTGCCCATGGAAGAACGAGAGGAACACTGAAGGAAAACAGAGAAGAGAATGTTCGAATCAAGGGGGGAAAACATGTTCCCTTCCCCTCCTCCTCCATCCGGGGAAGGAGTGGGGGGAGCAGAGGAACCGGCTGTACTCCCTCCCTCTCAACCTCCTACTCGAAATTTATTTTTCACTTCATTTCACATGATAGGAACATGATGTCATTTTTTCTGTTACTCATCACATTAGCAAACACAGCTACTGCCAATTCACAAAACTGCTCTCCTCGGGGTCAGTGGGCCAAATGGGCTCCAGCCCCATGTCTCACACTGTCCCCAAGTGTAATCACGGCCTGTCAGCATCCCCTTCACCCAGCCAGACATGTCCGGAGGAACACGTGGGGCTCCTGGGCTCAGAGGGCCTCAGGGACGGAGCGGCCTTGTTGTAGCACAGAGCCACAGTGGGTCAACTGTGTGAGTGTGGTCAACACTTGACCTCCCTGTGCCTCAGTTTCCTCATTTCTTAAAGAGGATACAGGGCCTATTTCCCAGGGCTGTTGTGAGGGTCACAAGAGCTTGGGGTGTGAGTGCAGCGCCTCATACCCAAAATCTCCAGAGGTTTACTGAGCATCTACTATGTGACAGGCTCTGTCCTAGGAGCTGGGGGTACAATGGTAAAACTTTCCAGTCCAGCCCACAGAGGGCTGCATCCTACAGGGGAAAAAGGCAATGGAAAGGCACTGCCACATAACTGAGGACAGTTGTGGGGGGGCGGGAGGGGTAAAGAGCACAGGCTCGATTCACACTGCTCAGCAGCACACTGGCTGTGTTACTTTGAGCAAGTTACTTAACCTGTGTTTCAATTTTTCTCAACTCTAACCAGGGATAGAACAATATCTACTTGATCATGTTGTGAGGATTAAAGAAAGTAGTTTAAGTAACTTTACACAACATTTGGCCCAAGGTAAAGTTAAGTATTAGCTTTAAATAATAATAATTGTAATAATAAATGTGATAAGTATCATAGGGGGCGAGTACGGGGTGGGACAGAAAGGCTTAGCAGAGGCACCTAATCCAGTCTGGGGTGGGGAGAAGAGGCTGTGGTCAGGGGCAGTCTCTCAGAGATGACATCTCAGTTTAGACCCTACAGAGCAACATTTAGGAAATCAACCCTTATGACTTGCTATGCAGCTGGACAGGAAAGACCCAGTACTGCCTGACCCAGCTCACACCTCCAAGTCCTGGGAAACATCCTCCTTCCCTCCTGGCAGCTGCGCCGCAGGAACCTCAAAGAGCGAGGCCACTGCAGGGCCCAACGCACAGAGCGGGCTCTAGGGAAGCCCCGGCGGTGGCAGCAGCAGCCAGGATGGATGTTCTAGCAGCAGGACCACGTGCTCTAAAAGCAGCAGGGCCTAGCTCCCGCCACATGGGGCCAGCGGGTTCCCCGGGAGCCCTGCCGCCAGCAGAGATGGAGGCCCTTGTGAGAGGCAGCAGGCAGCAAAGGATGCACCCCACCTCCATCCCAGGTGTGGCCACTGACAAGTCAGAAGCTGTTTTTTTTTTTTTTTTTTTTTTGCGAGGAAGACCAGCCCTGAGCTAACATCTGCCATTCCTCCTCTTTTTGCTGAGGAAGACTGGCCCTGAGCTAACATCCGTGCCCATCTTCCTCCACTTTATGTGGGACGCGGCCACAGCATGGCCTGACAAGCGGTGCGTCAGTGCGCGCCCGGGATCCGAACCCGGGCCGCCAGCAGTGGAGTGCGCGCACTTAACCGCTTGTGCCACCGGGCCGGCCCCCAGAAGCTCTTTATACATCGTAATTCCACAAGTGCTTCCCTGCGGCAACTACAAATGTATCCAATACACTGTTTCCATCATAGTGTCTCGAGAGCTGTTCAAGAGACAAGGGGCCGCGCTATTGGCACACATACAAACTGCTTCTTACAATTTTTCCAATAAATCTTGTTAGTAAGCCGTAAAGACTAAGGAAGTGGCTCCTGTAATTAAACCAAGCCTCGGTTCTGACACTTATTCTTCTAGGACGTTCCTTGGGTTGGCTACAAAACCTCCTAGCAATACCTGAATTATTGAACTGAACCACCGTCATGACCGCCACCCCCCATGCTGAGCAGAGTCAACAACCTGCCCAGCGGAGAGCGAGAGTTGTATACACTTGAGGAAGACATCTGTGACTACTCCAGGGCTTTTTAATCGGAAGTCTCAGCCGTAAACTTCGACTGCTAACCCTAAAGGCAACTCACTAAATAACCTGCCAGTCTCTTCCGATTTCTCAGGTGAGTGAAACTTCCATTTTCACGTCAAATCAACTGCAGACTCACCGAGGTCGATAAGGATTGCGTGCTGCTGGGAGGTGAGCTGTTTTAAGAGTTCTTTGTACGGCGTGTCCTTTGGCTGCTGTTTACTGGGAAACTGGTGTTTTAGGTGGTATTGCTCTGCTAGGAATTTCCAAATTTCACCCCGGTGATGACGTGGCACACCTTCAAGGGGGGGAGGGTAGACAATACAGAGAGAGACTTTATGCACAGAATACAACTTAACAACATAAATGAGTTGTGTTTCATTCCATTGATCCAAATTCTTGTTCCATTATGAATTAACAGCATAGGAATGGAAAGGAAGCAACCAAAATTCTGTCCTCTTTGCTTGCTTCCTTCCTTCCTCCACAGCCCCCCAGACCGCCTCCCACTTTCCTTTCACCTTTCAAGTATTCACTATGTTCAGACTCTGCAAGGAATAAACTGATGAAAGCCATGAGCCCCTATCTGGTGCCAATTAATAATGTTCTAGGGAAACAAGACCAAGCACATAAGACTACAGTGCAAAATGTCCTCTCATAGCAGGGGTACAATCAAAGTGAGGTGAGTTTGGATGGAGATCCAAGTGTCACAGAATCCTTCACTTGTGCCAAGACTTAAGAGTGGGGGATGGAAGAGAGAAGACAAGTCAGAAGGAGGGAGCTGCGAGTGTTTCGGTCACCTCGGGCACAGGGAAGGAGCAGGTGGAAGTTAGGCTGGAAGGGTTTCACCAGAAGCAAAATTGAGCGAGAAACCTGCACTGTAGTTGGCAGCTCTAGGGAACCGCAAATGTTTTTGAGCTGGGGAGGGAGTAGCCAAATCAAAGCTGAGACTGAGGAATACTGATTAGACACCTTCCCGCAAGGGTGAGCTGCAGGAAGGGACCAGAGGTTGGACAAGGGACCATCTGCATAGACATGCCATGGTAAGTGTTCAATGGAGATCTAAAACCAAGAAAAATTATCCAAGAGCCTCGTTAATGCTTTAACAAGCATTAACGAATTTAATTTAATTCGAATATTCAAAGTGATTAAAAATGTTGTCTAGGGGCCGGCCCCGTGGCGTAGCGGTTAGGTGCGCGCGCTCTGCTGCTGGCGGCCCGGGGTTCGGATCTCGGGCGCGCACCGACGCATCGCTTCTCAGGCCATGCGTGGCAGCGTCCCATATAAAGTGGAGGAAGATCGGCACGGATGTTAGCTCTGGGCCAGTCTCCCTCAGCAAAAAGAGGAGGATTGGCACAGATGTTAGCTCAGGGCTGACCTTCCTCACCAAAAAAAAAAAAAAATGTCTAAAACTAAGAAAAGTTCTCTTAAAGTCAATGATGTTATTTCGGGCAAACCTCATTATAAAAAAATGACAGTTTTGATTTAAAATTCTTTGGTTCATCATTCAGCTGTTATAAGGCTCAAATGCAGAAATGGGGAGCAAAAGAAAACTGCAGAATAAGACACCAAATCTTTCTCATCTCTGACAGGAGTTCTCTTGAGAGAAAAGGAACCTCCAGATTACGGATTAATCTTTCTTTCTATTCAGAAAAACACTTTGTACACTTCCCTGCCACTCAAAAGGCCTGCCCAGGAAGACTGTCTTTCTAGCTTCCTATAGGCTGTCTTTGAGAGGAGTTTCTACTCTGGCAAGACAGCAGCAGCAGCTAACATTCACCAAGAAGTGACTAGGCACTGTCACCATTCTAAGCACTTTACGTCACTCTCACAACCCACTAAGGGAAACATGATTATCCTCACGGTAAAGATGAGGAAACAGACACCAGTGAGACCAGGGCCCTTGCCGGAGATCGTCGGCTGTCAGTGGCAGCGGTGCAGGGAAACTGCCTGTCGTTTCCTCTTGATGTCCTCCCTGTCAGAGCCGTCAGACAAGCTGCTACTTAGATGGGCACTGGAGAAAAATATTTTATGTCCCTACCTGGCAATTAATAATAAAATAATCATTTGTGGATTTGAACCATATAGTAGTCAATTTCATTTATTACCAGATCCACAAGAAACTATTTAGAAACAATCACTCAGCCATTTCTTGGAAATACTTAAGGTGTAGTAAGTAACTTGGTTTTTCCCTTAAACGTACAGTTGTTGGGGAAAAAAAAAAAAGTTAGCCTGTGGGAGAAACACCAGGCCACACATAACTGTGACCATATCCTAACCTTCTCTGCATGTTTATCTCAGCATTAATCTGATGACCCTGTGTCATGGGTTCAACGGTGGTCCCCAAAAAGATATATCCACACCCTAATCCCCAGAACCTGTGAATGTTAACTTCTTTGGAAAAAAGGTCTTTGTAGATACAATTAAGATCTTAAAATGAGATGATCATCCTGGATTATCCAGGTGGGCCCTCTATCCAATGACAAATAAGTGTCTTTATAAGAGGCACAGAGAGGAGAAGGCAATGTGACTACGGAGGCAGAGAATGGAGTGACGCAGCCACAAGTCAAGGAGTGCTGACAGCCCCCAGAAGCTGGCAGAGGCCGACACAGCCCTGCCAACACCTTGACTTCAGATTCTGGCCTCCAGAACCGTGAAAGAAAAATCTGTTGTTTTAGCCACCAATTTTGTGATAATTTGTTATGGCAGCAACGAATACATTCTGATATCTGCCTTTTTATATTATTCTATTCCTTCTCTCCCTCTCTACTATTCCTGCTCAGAGATATAGCTTAGGTTTGTGTGTATGTACATACACACGCACGCGCAAGCCCTTACTACTTCAAACCATATTAGAAGTAAATGTGGCCTGAAAAACAGTCAGTATGTTAAGTGATTTATAGCGGGGCTTTTCACAAAATATTTTGTTCAAACTGGGAAATTTTCCCAAATTATGAAATGACCAATTTCCTTTTATTACTAAACCATTCCCATTATCTTATCAGACCTTTATTTGCTGAAGGAGAAGGATATTGGCTGTGTCACTGGACAGTACCACATATTCTGATGCTTAAGCAAAAGCTTAGATTTTGTGATTTAGAAACAAAGGGTCTGGGCCGGCCCCGTGGCTGAGCGGTTAAGTGCGCGTGCTCCGCTACTGGCGGCCCGGGTTCCGATCCCAGGCGCACACCGACGCACCACTTCTCTGGCCATGCTGAGGCCGCGTCCCACATACAGCAACTTGAAGGATGTGCAGCTATGACATACAACTATCTACTGGGGCTTTGGGGGAAAAAATAAATAAAATAAAAATTAAAAAAAAAAAGAAACAAAGGGTCATGCAGATTGGAGGCAATGTTTTTTGCTAAGAATGACCTGGAACACCCTTCCCCATCGTCGGTTTTTGCTTCCACTCCTAACCCAAGAGAGAAACCTGACAGTGGAGTCCACCCAGGGCCTGTAGGCAGAGTTCTGGGTGGACAGGAGGCCATCCCCATCTCCCATCCCCAAATATAAAATACCTTCTTATTTTTACTGACTTTAAAAGTAATATATGCTCACTATTTAAGTGGGAAAAAAAAAATTTCTGAATATGCAAAAAGAGAAAAACCACTCATAACTAGAGTGAACATATAATTCACCATCTAAAAGCAGGAAGCTTCTGAAAGCAAAAGGGAGGAAAGCTATTAATTATTTTACTAGGCCAAGAGTCGTAAACCAGGGCTATGCCAGGTCAACTGGGATGTACAGCCAGCCTGTCCATTACCCGGGTATCTGCGAACACATCATAGATGTTTTCTACATATACACACACAGAAATATACAACTGCACATGAGATCATGCTGTTATTTTTTTTTTCCATTTAACAACTTATCTCAGACATCTTTTACATAGTAAATACAGATCTACTATGTCATTTTCAAGGAATATGATATGGGATGGTTACACGGTTGGTGTTTTTTGGTTCTGCCCTGTTTTTTGGCTATTAAACAATGCCACAATAAGCATTCTTCTTACGGCAGTACATTTTTGACTGATTTCTAGAACAGGTTGCTATACATGGCATCACTGGGTCAAAGGCAAGCAGCGTATGCATCTCGCCCATACTGCCAACTGCTCAGGTGACCTCTTTGCAATCCCAATCCTAGAAAAGTACTCTCCAGTTCATAAAGTACTACCTTGATAGCTTCAGAGAAATCATTAAAACCCAAACTAAACTCTGAGTTATTTAAAATTCCATAGAATTATTGTTCCTTCTCCCAAGTTGACACCCTAACCCTGCCACTCTGATCCAATTTTAACTTGGAAAGTTTATAAATCCCTTTATTTCTATCACTTAGGGTCTTGAGGTCATTAAAAGGAGAGGCCTCATTACCCACACAGGAACTATCTTCTCTTTCAAGGGCTTGGAAGTGACTTGGCCTCTGCCTGAAAGGTCGAAGGTGTGGTTCTGATTTAATCTCATCTTAATTCCAAGCTATGAGATATACTATGGTCATTTGTTTGGAGTCCTTAAATCATGTGCTGAAACCAGCCGAATCACTGACAAAGCTCCTTCAATAAAGATCCTGCAGCAGAAAGAGATGTGGCAATGTTGGGGGATACATGAGGAAACCCCAGGTTGGCCATGGCTCACTGCAGTATATAAACTGTCCAATCATCTAGCCCCTCTTCACCATACAGGTTCCAGATGCCCAGAGTATTTCTATTAGACCCCTTCATAAAATGCAGGATGAAAACCAATATACCCAGGTGCCAGGCTTCCAAGAAGCTCAAACATTTGGAATGGCTGTCATAGACCCATGCAACTTACCTTCCTGAAGACCAACATCTAGTCAACAGTGAAAAGGCAAAGAGCAAACTTTTTCAAAACAGCAATTTGGGGCCCTTTGGTGCAATGGTGAGCCTCCAGCAACCACTATAGATGCAAAGAATGTGGGAACTGGAAGAGAGCTCTGAGATCCTCTGCTTGGTCCACACCTCTCATTCTACCAGCCAGGAGGCCATAGCCCAGAAAGATGAGGAGAAGGATATAGGCTGTATCACTGGACAGTATCACATGTTCTGATGTTTAAGCGAAAGCTTAGATTTTGTGATTAAAAACAAAGGTCACACTGGGAGCTGCTGGCTGATTCAGAACCTGTGTCCTCACCACCGACCACATTTCTGGTCACTGAGAATAGCACTGCTAAGGCACGGTTCAACCAGAGGTAGTGCCCTGTGGTGGCCAGAACTCCAGCAGACGGGGGTGTGAGACCAGCTCTGTGGCCCTGGGCCCATTACTCAACTGCTCTAGCCCAAGTTTCCTTATCCATAGAAAGGGGAAAGTCACAAAAAGCAATAACTACATATTGTTACTAAACTTGATGCTGTCAAAACTCATATCAAGGTTAAATAATACCTAATAGACTATAGTAGAAAAAACTGCTTTGCTCTATTTTCTCTTAGAGATAAATAATGCATGTGGAACTTCATCCACTGAACAGCTGAGTCAGAAGAAAACCATAACATTTACACATATTTGCAAACCTTATTCTAAACACCTGGTTATTCATGCCTAGATGGACCAGAACTCAGTAGCACTAGAATTAGACTCAGAAAGCTTCCAATCTTGCCCACAGACACTAACATACATTTTAAAAGAAATGGTTGATGATTATTAGTGTTCAGGTAAAACAAAGTTAAACTCTGAAATGGTACTTCTCAAACTATCTGTGATGAAGGACGTTTTTTCTTTTAAATTGTCCAATCACTGTAGACTGATTCTTTTACAAAATACAGTAAAAATGAATTAGTAGAAAAATGAATGAGAAAAAAGACTGACAAAATACAAGTCCACATTTTTTTTCATTAGGATAACTCTCTCAAATTGCTTAGACCCTTTCTAAATGCTTAGTCTCAAGTTCTGTATTTATCTTGGATCACTAACACTTCAGACTGGCACACGGTCAGCAGACCACGCTAAAGAAAACAGCAATACTGCCCACTCTCCAAGGCCTTTCAGTACAGCAGACACGTGCAGTGTGCCCCCGGGTATCAGCTCATTTACTCACAACCACCACCCCTGTCATCACCCACATCTTACACCTGTGGACAGTGAGGCTCAGAGAGGTTAAGTCGTTTGCCTCACTCCACACTGCAAAGTAACTGGTGGAGCTGGGATCTCAACCCAGGACTACTTGTCTGAAGTCTGTGCCCGACACTCTGTGCTGTCTCCCACCAGTGCCCAGAGAGAAGCCACACAGTCAGTCTTCAGTTTACTATTTAACTCAGAGTATATCATCATATCATGACCTAGTCTGTAGGCAACTAAGCCCTTGGGTTTTCCTCTATCCTCTCCCTGTTTCCTGTTCTTCTGGGCATTTTAATTAATTTAATCAAGAGGAATCATGAAACAATTAATTAAGACATCTGGAAACAGATTAGATGAAGACCTGATAAATAGGAGCCAGATGGCCACTAAAATTGGACGTTAAGTTTTTTTTATTCCACACTTCTCATTGATGACTGGGGAGAGGTGACGCTGGCTGGACCGATGTCCAGTAAAGCTTACCTTGCCCAACCGCCGAATGCATTTTTTCCATGTCAAACTTAATTTTTGCTCTTCCTGGAGTGCCAAGCATCTTTTCCCACACTGTAGTTACTTCTTTAAGACAAGGAGTGATTTCTTCATAATCCAACTTTAGGCGCTTGTTCAGCAAATCATTTTCAGATGCTAGAATAGACCGTTGAAGTGCACGTTAGTGAACGCTATGGCTACATGTCCTCTAGTTCACAACATGGCTGCCTGCTTACCCTTACCACTGAGATGTCGAGCAATTACAGCCAGCTCAATGGGTCCAAATTCAAGTCACTGTTCCCGCCCCACCCCTTTTCCTTATCCTGGAAAAAGCTGAACACCTAGGATGTATCCTTGTTTCTCTTACCCCTTCACCCCCAATGGGTCCTGTTGGCTCTACTGCTAAAATATATCCCATACCTATCCAATTCTATCCTCCCTGACTGTTCTATTAAACCATCAACATCTCAAGGGCAGGAGGTATGTGTTAAAATTTCCAGCACCTGGCATGGCTAGAGCTCAACAAAATTTCTTCATCTAAACTAGGAGAGGTTCTCCAAGGATAGTTCCTTCTTATTTACAGCTAAACCTCCTTCAGGTAGCTTCCAGCATTAGTCATGTTCCTGCTTCCTGGAGCTGAACAGAATAAACCTACCCTTTTCAGATGGCATCTCCTCAAATACATAAAGATAGCTATGTTTCCCACCAATCTTATTCAGCCTAAAGCTGCATTAAGAAGAATTATACCTAAATTACCAACTGGGAGGAAAATCAGTTAAGGAAAATGTGAAACTGACCATTCTGAGAAGGATTAAAACGGACAACCTTGCACCCACCTAAAACCCCTAAATCCTACTTAGACACAGCGGTAATGTCTGCCTCAAAGTCCATTCTGCATCACGTCTCAGATCTAGAATGTGTGTTTATTACAAAGCAGGGAGGGTACACAGCTAAGTAAAAGCCAATACACAGACCTGTGCAGAGCTGATAAACTCATCTTCTTTATGATGATAACAATAAACAAATACCATATGTCTTAAGTACTTTATATTTAGTAACTTTTAATCTTAACGATGCTCTGAGATGTGGTTTTGGATGAGAAGACTAAGGCACAAGGGGGTGGGGGCTGAGTTGCTCCCCCAACGTCCCAAAGCAGGCCTGGCCCCTCGCCCTTCTCCACCGCACCCACCGCAGAGCTTGCTGTTGTTAATTACATGTTTTTTCTGGGACTAGGCACGTATCCATTAGGGGCCTTGAATGTTTGACAGAATCCAGGGGAGCTACTTGGGTCTAGAGTTTTGTGTAAAAGATTTTCAATACAAATTTGATCTCTTTAACAGATACAGGGCCATTCAGATCTTTTTCTTCTCATTTCAGTTTTGATAAATTACATCTTTCAAGAAGTTTGTCCATTTCATCTGAGTAAAGTTTATTGGCATAGAGTTGTTCTTAGTCCTACAGACGCTGGTAAGTCAGTGTGCACGTCTCACAAGACTGTTCTCCCTGCCCACCACCCCAGTGGGAATACACACTCCCCCCCACCCTTTTATTCAGGAGGAGACAGAGGCTGAGCAGGTTCATTATTTCTCCCAGGGCCACAGAGGCAGCAAGTGCTGGAGGCAGGATTTGAAGCCCTCAGGTTTAACACCACTACCCGTGTGAGCCCCAGTTCCCACTACTTTTTAAACGAGAATTACAGCTACTTCATTGATTTGCTCTTCTGAGGATTAAAGGAGATGAAATATACTAAGCATCTACAAAATGCCTGCTCATTAGCAAGTGCTCCACACATTATCAAAAACCTCAAGACAAATAACAGAAGGTACAAAACACCGCCTTACAAACTAAGTGCTGGTAACACGAAATAAAATATTTTCTTTTTCTGTGTTAGAAACTGAGCAAATGCTAACCCAGTTAACCTGGCTAATGCTACCCTGATGGTAAGATCTTATTCTTCTGATGCATGGACTCTGAATTTAACTCACCCAATTACTGCCCTCAAGTACAAATGCATCAAATGATGGCACTGAAGAGGCCTGCAGAGCTCCCTCATCCAGCTTCTCATTTCATGGACACAGAAACTGAAGCTCAGAGGATTCAGAGACTTGCCCAAGGTCATTTACTAGCTAGCAGGTAGCCAAGTGACCCCAGGCCTAGTGCTGCCTCCCTCTCATCTTTTGTGGTTTTTCATCAACCATCTTTATTCTTTTCCTTCTTACTTTGAAGAATATATTTTCAAGGTCTCGCTAAACAATTCAAGAATTCCCTACATTTGTGGAGTTCAAATTTTTAAAAAATGTCAACCCTAGATTTTTTTGGCTATGAGAAAACACAACAGATGTCATTAGAGTTGCCCTAATCCCTGTGGCAAATCGGGTTGAGGACTAGTCTTGCTGAACAGTGACTGCATGCAGCACTGGGCTCGTAGTGTCAACGTATGTGTCTCTGGCAGTGAACTCTGCCGTGAGCATGGCTGGCTACACTAAAAGAGTCCAGCGAGCAACATGAGGACCCTGCTCTGAAGTCAACAGAACAAATATCTGGCCAGAAGATGCAGCTGGAAAAGCTTAAGCCATGTATTTCGCTGTTGGCCCACAACACCCTGCTGTTTCATGTCCTGACAACACTGCTGCTGAACATCAGTGGCCTCCAAAATGCCTTATCATCCAAGGCAGATGGCGCAAGCCTGCAACAAACGTCAAGGCTCCAAGGCAAGAACTTCAGGTATAAGACCAAACTGCTTAAACTACTAAATAACAGTGTACAAACCCGTGTTTGTGAGTTTCTGGGACCGGGGAAAACCAGGACTAAATGAGCTCAAATGTGACTTTGCAGAAGTGTCATCTAAACATTTATTACCATTTAACACTGACATATGTACTAACCTGGACTTTGGACTAACAATTTCAGGTCTGATTTATACCCATGGCATAGGGTGGCTGTCGATGCTCAGTTAGCAACTGCCTTCGCAGACAAAACACTCTTCCAACTGCCACCATCTCTTGAAAGCTTAGAAAGGGAAGGCTAAGAGGCTGGGAGCCTCAGAAACTAAATGACCCCCAAAATTGTAGAGATTTTAGAAAAACTGCACTCAATTTCTAATTTTTTTTTTTTTACAACCAACATGTACTATTTGTTTAACAAAGGAAAACCTTTTTTTAAATTAAAATACCTTGAACTACAATTCAAAATTCCATGTGTTATCACATCATTATGCAGAAGTACTATCTGTAACATTTTAATCTTAGATAAACAGGAAATGCTGAAAAGCCATGACACGCTGACCAAAACCCATGGTTGTATTGAATCACACCCTGCTGTCTTGCATTAGGCTGCAGGCGTCTTCATTTATAACGGGGGAAATGGCCTTGCAGAGGGGCACAGCGGAGGACTGCTGGCTTGGGAGAGAGAAATGCATTTTAGCCCCAAGAGCACTGAAAATTAGCTGTTTAACTTTGGGAAAATCATAATTCAGCTTCCAACTATCTACAATGGAGTGAGGTACATTTAGATGACATGGTTTGGTTCTTTCTCAGATGCAACGCTTCCAGAATAGTAATAAATATCTGATCCATATATTAAAAAGCCAGGAAATAGGCTTAACTATAGGCAGAACCTCCTCATACATGTTTCTCTAAGTTCCTTCCCAAAGAGCATGGAAGTCAGCCTGAACTCTTGATCAATTTCAAGAGCCAATTCCAGTTGCAATTTAACCTTCCTTTAAAAAGCAATTGAAAATTGTACAGAGTACACTCTCTGGTTAGTTTTTGTCAAATCTTGCTTCTGTATTTAATGAGAAAAGTCCTGCCTCCCATCCCACCCCAACAAAACTAAATATTTTTAGGCAATTCATGATAAGGCTCTTATAGATGATTACTTTTCTCAGCAATATAGCTACTGTACACACTGATACAATGCTTTTTATATTATATTTACCAAGTTTATTGTGCTTTCACCACAAATGTAAACATATGTTCAACTTTATAGAGCTAAGAAGAGAAACTAATTCAAACAGTAAAAATGAAAGACCACACAGAACTGAGCACTGCCGGATGAGATGAGGAAGCAGAAAGATGCTGGCAAGGGCCAGTGAACTTAACGCCATACCTGGCAAGGTGTTCCGGGTAACCTTAGGAAGCTCTTCCCTGTTCATTCTAGTCTGTCTAGTCATTTACAAAGCTTTACAAAAGCTTTGCTTATGCCACAAAAGCAAAGAACTTTTTGGAATGGTACTCTAATTCCAAAGGTACTCTAACTCTCATCTCATTAATTAGTCATGATTCCTCCCAACGTTTACAAGAAGCCAGCCAGCACAATTCCTATTTTACAGCTATGCCCTGATTTTCTGAGGCTGTCATTTGCAAGAAGATCGGCCAGGATAAACCTTAAGGTCATTAAGGTTTACGACCTATATGATGGACATACTGCCTTTTGGCTTTTCAACAAAAATCCCCACGTACACATGAATATGAGTGCTGTGCTCCAAAGCTGTCGTTTAGCTGATGACATGCTGAGTGATGCCATCACTATCAAACCTCTTTTAGACATTTGCATTTAGAATTACCTTCAAAAACACACAAGAAAATGGTAGAAAAATAGAGTTGGAAGAAAACTTAGCATTCACTGCTCTGAACTCCCCTCGCTCTGGCATCCTCTTCCATAGCACTGTGAAGGGGTGACCCATTTCTCTCAGCTTCAATACTGTGTAACAGAAAGCTCACTACATCCATAAGCAGCCTATTCTAACTGCTGGACTACTTGCATATCAAAAGATCTTATTACTTTATATTTTACTTCTTGTTTTTGGTCAAAGATGACATAGTTATCTGGACTATGAACGTTATTCATCAGATTTAGTGTCTTAATGACTTTCAGTCCTATACAAACATCAAGATCATTATTAAAAGATGAAGATTTGCAGTGCAGGAGAAAGTTCAGTGAGAGGTACTCTAATTCCAAAACTGCTTTGGGCAGAGGCGGCATGACTGAACCACCCGCACAGCTTCCCTTTGAAAGAGTCTGTTCAGACTTCCCGATCAAAATACTCATTCTTTTATCCAGCAGCTTTCTACACTCCAAGACCCGTGCTCTTTTCCATTATACCACCCCGGGTACATCAACTTAGCTTCTCAGCTACTCTGAAAATATTTATTATTTCAAGTGACAGTACGGAAACAGGAAATGAACAAAATCTAAACTTTCAAAGTTCACGTCTTATTTTGATACTGACATAACCCTGGGCAAGTTACTCAGCTTCTCTGAGTCTCAGTTTCTTCTTCAGGCTAATACCTGCCTTCTGGAGTTGTGGTCAGGATTAAATGAGTCTGTCTATGTAAAACCTTGATATCAGCACAGGTTAACCTCAGCTAATGTCGAAGATTAGTCCTGTTTTCAGGTTACCTACAACTCACTAAAAATGCACAGAGTGAGGTTATGAACTTTAATGATTTATGTAGGAACAGTTCATACCTAACACCCAGGCATAGACTATGGCTGAAGACAAAGTAGAAAGAGAGAGAGAAACAAACAAAAAACAAACACTTTTCAGAGGGTTAGAGCTTAAATTTGAAGGTTGTTCTCTCAGAAGTTATAGACATTATGCTAAACATGACCATAAAGGAATAATTTGATAGGTTGATGAGATTATCATTAAATCTCCAGAAAGTAAGTAGCGTTTACTTTGAAAAAGTAGACATTTTGTGTGTGTGTATATATGTATGTACATACACACACACACGTTAGAGTATCTTGCCTTTTAAGATAGCAAGCTTATGTCTGATATGATTCACTTCAGACCCAAGATGAATGTAGATCATCAGGCCTGTTCAATTTCAAAAATGGCAAACCAACCTTGCAGCTTCTGATTCTCCTTCTCCATTCTGAGGAGCAGTATCTGTTGTAGAATAGCCTTTTGCCATAGTTCTCGAAGCTCGCGAGATGTCCTTTTCTTTTCCTCTGGTACTGGGCCAAAGGGTCCATCTTCACAAACCGGCTCTAAAGGAGATCGTGGCGGAAGCTCTCCCAGCTCTGAATATTCTGGAGAGGGAAAACGACATCTCAGAATGATCATTTTTCAATAAAAATTTATATTTAAACACAGTGCCAAATCAGAAAACTCTGCTCATTCAGATGTACGTAATGATATCACCCAAGTGTAAAATTCATGTTTCCATATGCGCTGGAGTATACTATGCCTGAGCTGCAAACATAAACAAATTATACATCAAATAGTGAGCAAAAGTTGTAGCAGCTGAAAAAATGTTCAAAGATACTTACTTTTTAAGGTGTAATATTTTTATCTTCCTCTGAGTTAAGGACTATATATTGATAATAGTAGAAACATACATATAGTGCCCACTATGTACCAGACTATTCTGAGGGCTTTATGTATAATAATTTAACACTCAATCACCCTAAGATGTAGGAACTATAACTATTCAGTTTTAAGGCAAAGCAAACTGAAGCACAGGGGAGTTTAAGTAGCTTGCCCAAGGTCACACAGCAAGGAAGTAGTAGAGCCAGGATTAGAACCCACAGTCTGGCTTTCGTGTGCATTTTTAACCACTGTGTTATATGGATAGGTATTTTGAAAGAAGATTAAAACATGTTTAATAGCCAATAATAACAGCGATCTTTAACGGATCCTCCACCAAGTGCTGAGCACCGTGCCAGGTGTTCTATATGGACAGACTCATTCAACCCTGACTCCAGAAGGCAGGTATTAGCCTGAAGAGGAAACTAAGGCTCAGAGAAGCCAGTAACTTGCCCAGAGTCACACAGTGAATAAGCAGGTGCGTTGGGATCCCAATCTATGTCTGCCTGACTTGGAAGTCCATGCTTTCCTCTAGATACCCCTACAATTCAAATGTTTCCTTGTCATCAATTTTCATATTTCTACTTATTAGTTGAAATCTCTTTACGTTTCATGAATTTGTACCTTTCTCAACTGCAGACACTATGTTGCTAGCACACCATGTTGTTATAACTCACAAAAACCTTACAGACATGCACAGAGAATGTTCTACCTGTTCAATATGAAACTAGGTATGAAGAGCAGAAGTTCCCCTACAAGTGGACCTCATCTGACACAATGCATTCTTGAGAACTTCTGCCTAAACTGAACCTAAATAAAACCATGGTCTTAGCATATGCTGTGAAAAGCCCTTCACGGGTGACTTGAGTCTCACAACCACTTGTAATACAACATACAATCTCTTCCAGTGGACAGCTCCAACATAATTCCATGTTATGATTAACTTCCAGAACAGTCGTCACCACTGACTGCTCATTATCTTTATCTGAAGTTGGGTTTGTTTTCCTGCTATGAGATCTATGAAATCAAACACAAGCTATGAAATGTCTAATTTCCTAAAGTAACTTGTCCATCTGACTGCCTTTAAATTAATGGATTAAAAAAATTTTGATAAGCATTAAGAATGCTTCATGATCTCTGTAAGCATTTAAAGGTTTATCACATTTCTGTATATGCTTATTTCATTATGATCCTAATGAACAAATGAATACATTAAAATTCTACTTCTTTTGTGGGTAAGAAGTAATAGTTTATGCACATTATAGGAGGATGCTCATATGTAATGATCAATACTAAAGCAGGAATTAAAACTGTCTATATGGTAGGATCTCAATTTTAAAAATTATAAGAGGCAGTATAGTTTAGTGATTAATAGGGCAGGTTCTGGAGCTAGGCTGCCTGGGTTTTTTTGTGTGTGTGTGAGGTAGATCAGCCCTGAGTTAACATCCATGCCAATCCTCCTCCTCCTTGCTGAGGAAGACTGGCCCTGAGCTAACATCTATTGCCAAACCTCCTCCTTTTTTTCCCTCTTCTCCCCAAAGCCCCAGTAGATAGCTGTATGTCATAGACGCACATCCTTCTAGTTGCTGTATGTGGGACGCCATCTCAGCATGGCCAGACAAGTGGTGCGTTGGTGCGCACCCAGGATCCAAATCCAGGCCGCCAGCAGCGGAGCGCGCGTACTTAACCGCTAAGCCACAGGGCCAGTCCCTAGGCTTCCTGGGTTTTAATCAAGACTCTGCCATTTATTGATGCTGTGATCTTCAGCAAGTTGCTTGATCTGCCTATACTTCAGCTTTCCAATCTTACTGTAAGTGGGAATAACAACACCTCCCTCACAGTGGTGTTACAGGGATTGAGTTAATACATATGATATAACCCACCTAAAACAGGGTCTAACACGGTAAGAATATGATGAACATTAGCTCTAATTGTTTGCTATCACATATTCACTAAGGGCACAGAAAAAAATACTAGACGGAAACATCAAAATTTAGCCACTCAACGGTAAGCTCCAAGAAGGCTGGACAAGGCCGCCCTGTCAACAAGGGTTTGTCCAGCACAAGCACGGTCCCTGGCACCCAGCAGGTGCCTGACAAATAACTGTTGAAGAAAACAAGAGATAGTAGGTGCTGGGTTTGGGAGTGCTTGTTCTTCTTTGTATTTCCTGTATTTTCTAAATTTGTGACAATAAACGTTTTTATAATCAAAAAAATTTTTTTAAATAATGCAAATCTATTCTGATTTAAATCAAAGATTGAAAAACGTTCTCCTGCAAAACAGAAGACAAATCAAACCCCCAAAAACCTGCATACTTAGGATTAGTCATTACTGAATATGATAGTTTAAATTAATCCTTTTTTCAAAAGCAATTTTACTCAAGATTATCATTTAATCTTATTCTGCAGGCTGAAGTCTTCCACATAAGCCCTTTCCTTTCCTTTTTTTGTTTCACCACCTCGGCTGTTGAAACTCTGCTGGACACTGCACTTACGATTCGAGTTCTGCTTTATCTCTATTGGAAGTATTGATACTCCCTCTGGTTCGCACAAGAGCCTCGTTTCCAAAAAGTGACTCTTGTGAGATGTCCTGGCTGATGTGGCAGGCGTCAGAGCAGGAGCTGAAGCAGCATTTCAGCGGACTTGATACAAAAAGAACCCGGGACCCGTCCAGTCGTCAGAGCATCAGGTGGAGTTAATCTGTAAATTCTTTCTCATTCTTAAACCCTGCTAATAAGACAAGGGCTCATCTCACCTAATCTCCTTCCTCTAACCTCATCCTTCCTGTTTACCACAGCCTTTCTCCTCCCGAGTACCTTAAAAATTCTACTACGTTACTTTCAAATTCTGGAACGTAATGAGCAGGACAGGTGTAACTCAGGCCAGGCTGACGAAACACGTCTAGGAGTTGAGGCTGGTTGGTCCCTAGATCCCTTTGCCCACTGTCAACTGGGTTGCTGACAAGAACCACGGTCTACAGAAGGGTATATAGCCCTGGTTTTTGCTATCTTCTCAGAGAAATTAAATCTACAAAGATTACAAGCATTGTTTGGCGATGACGACTGTCAGGTTTAAGACATAAATTGCCTCCCCATGTCTCTGCTCTTGTCTTCTTTTTCTCATCATCACAGCTCAGGGTGCTGAACTTTTACCACATGATGAGGCCTCGACACCAATAAACTTGTCTGAGTCTCATGACCACCTCCTGAGATTAGGTGACATTATCCTAATTTTACAGCCAAAATAACTAAGGTGCGGTGAGGTTTTTTAACTTGGCCAAGGTCACACAGCTAGTAAGAGTCAGATGCACAATTTGAACCAGGGCGTATTTTCCTCCACAGTAAACAACGCTTACCCCGGGCTTCTCTAACTTCTCGATGCAGGAGCAGCATGTGGGTATCTTGCAAAAACGCACATGTTGATGCAGTAGGTCTGAGGGGAGCCTGAGAGTCTGCATTTCTATCAAGTTCCCAAGCGATGCCACCACGGCTGGTTCTCAAAGCACACTTTGAGTGGCGGGGCTCCACATTACATTTTCACGCCTCATTCCTTCATGCAACCCTATGTACTTAGCACGTCAGCTCTTTGCCTTCCTTTCTGTTACCATTAGAACACGGTTCAAGTGCTGTTGTTGTCAGCTACCTGAATTTAGATCTTCACACATGGCCAGAGCTTGTCCCGACCTTGGTCAGGTACCAAGGCCAAGTCCAGAACACAAAGAAGGATTACAAGGATGAGTATTAACTTCACCTCTGAATTAACTATAAAAGCTAATCCACAGTCAAGGTCAGCAAATAAACCTAATAGTTTACAGCAGGGTTTCTCAACCTCAGCACCACGGACATTTTGGGCTAGATAATTCTCTGTCATGGGGGACTGTTCTTTGTAGAATGTTTAGCAGCATCCCTGGGCACTACCCACTAGATGACAGTAATCTCCACCCACGCCAGCAGTGACAATCAAAACTACCCAGACATTGCTAAATATCCCCTGGGGGGCAGGGGGAATAAGGTCACCTCCAGCGAGAACCCAATTCAGAGTAAAAAAACTCATCACTTATCCTCTCCTAAACCTTAGAAAGGAGTAAACACATATCCCCTTCACCCAAATTTATTTTATGTGGTAACAGTTACTGACATTATAGTTTAAATTCACAATTTTTTTTACAAATATGATCTTTTGTTTATACTAACAGTCACCTAGTTACAAAGTAGTTTAGTAACTTACAGAACAGGGATAGTTAAAATATTTGTTTGTTCTAAATTTAGCCTGGCTAAATGACTCCAACTGGGCTATTTTCTTATCAGTGCAAAAAGAGTCAGATTTGGGACAAGGCTATAGCTTTGTAATCAGTCCTCTTTGTGTTGCACAAGCATGCATGTGTGTGTTTGGGGTGCAGTCTTGTGAAATGTGTAACCACGTACACAGGTGGCTAGGTGGAGGGGCACACAGGTGGGTGGAGGGGCAGGGTGCGGATAATAGCAAGAAAACGTTGGACAACTGTCAACTGAGAACCTTGTTCTAATAATAAATATGTACAGTGTTTTAACTTGGATGATTCCTAAGCCCCTTACCCCAGTATTTATCGAGTGCCTTATACGTACCCAGGACGTGATGTGCCAGGTGGTCTGTGACAGGCCACTCTGATGTTTCTAATACTCTCCAGAACAACCCTGGGGATCTGGCTCCTTTCCTTGACTTATATTTTGCTGAGAGATACTGCA